ATCTTCTTCTTGCCCCAGCCCTTCCCTTACCCTCTGACACTTATACTGGTGTTCTCTAGCTGCCTCCTTAAGTGCTATCATCCCACCTACTGGCTTGGAAAACTACATATTTCTGCAACCTATCAAGCAAAGTTGGTGTTTCTGAAGACAGACTAAGAAGATTCCTATGAGGTTCCAAAGAAGACAGATTGAATGAATGCATCAAGGGACTGTCAGTGTATTGGATGAAAGTTAGGGTTGAAGTGATCTTGGGACTTCAAATTCCTCATTTACAATTAAGGTACTGAACCAATCTCCTAAAGTTATTATAATGAAATATAGGAGATACTGAATAAAGATAAACTGGAAAAGGGCTTATTTCATAAAAGATGCAGAGCCATAAGTCCTTTTGCATTTAGGAAAGTTAAACTCCAATAAAACACACTTTTAAAAAAAGGGACTTTAATTGGGTTGTGAAAGACTTAAGACCAAGAGGTCTTAAGGCTATACCACAGGATGCCATAGTCATTCAACAGTGCAAATGTCCTAGTTCAGGCAAAGATTTCGAACTTTATCTTTCTCTAATAAGCATTCATATGAAGAATTACAGTATGTTAAGATGCAAGGGTTAATTTTAAAAAAAAGGAAGCTGACACTCAGTGCAGTGGCTCATGCCTGTAATCCTAGTTATGAGGCTGTGATCAAGAGGATCTCGGTTTGATACCAGTCCCAGCAAGTTAATGAGACCTCCATTTCAACGAAGAGCCAAGTGTTCTGACATGTGCCAGTCATCTCAGCTATGCAGGAGGCTGATATTGGGAGGACTGAAGTTCCAGGCCAGCTCAGGTAAAAGTTTGCAAGATCCCATCTCAAAGAAAAGGCTGGGTGTGGTAGAACATGCCTGTCATTCCAGCATAAAAATGGGAAGCATAAAATAGAAAGATCTTGGTCCTGGCAAAAAAACAAAACCCTATCTCAAAATTAACCAGAGCAAAAAGGACTGGAGGTGTGGCTCAAGAGTTATGGCATCTGCCTAGTAAGGGTGAAGCCCTGAGTTTGGATCCCAATGTTGCCAAAAAAATGTTTCATAAAGGAGCTGACACTTAAACTGAGTATTTCATGACCTCTTTGTATCAATAATAAAAAATGGTAACACAATTGTATATCTAGTTATAGGATGCTAAGTCAGTGTTGTAGTAGCAATAAGAGCCAAGATTGCAATGAAACTGAAAATTGGGCAGAACTCACACTGTTTCTTCAAGACAGGTTTCATTGTTTTGGAAAGTCAAATGTGTAACTTCAAATCCCAGATCTGAACCTTCAGAGCTCTAATAGTTATTAGTAATTTATTTATCTAACTTTCCCATACATCTACATCCTTACCAAAAAAATGGGAACAGTACTATTTTAGGGTAGTGGGGGGAGAATTAAATAAGGTTAACAGAGGAAAAGCACCTACAACAGTGCCAGGTGCCGTGAAAGTACTCAAACATCTGTTAACTATTATAATCATGATCTTAATCATCTCAGGATGCACATTCCCATACCAGGCAGGAATCAGAATTCCAAGAACTATCCCACTGAATTTTGCATTTAATTAATAATTTGTAGAGTATCAGCATACTTGAGTACAGAATTGGAAAATATGCAGTCCAGAAGGGGAAAAAATATGTATCCACAGAGATTAAATATAAAAAAAGAATATATAGATTTTAGAGGATAATTTTATAGATTCTGTGGTTGACTTAAATAATTCACTTCTTTGAAGTACAGAATACCTGTATGCAAAATTTGCTGGAGAGACTTCAGAGAAAACATTAATGGAAGTTTACATGCATTCTATGGAAGTCTATAAAATTACAAATCTACAAACCATACCCAAGTTTATCTGTATTAAAACATTAATTTCTAGCCGTAACTGTAGCTAAAAATGAAATGCTTGGCCACTATGTCTTCATTAAAAATTCTCTTGATTGTACATTTTATATAAATTAGCTAGTAACTATGCTTAATATTTAGCAATGGAATGAAGTGAAAGTCTGTTTTCATATTCCAAACTTCTCCAAAATAACCAGAACAAAATGGGCTGAAGGTGTGGCTCAAGTGATAGAGTGCTTGCCTTGCAAGCACAAAGCCCTGAGTTCGAACCTGTCAAAACCAAAAAAAAAAAAAGTGGAGTTAATTCATTACTATTCTCAACACATCAAAACTCCTATTTGAAACAAAACTATTTGGGGAAGATGGCAGAAGTAGTATCTTCATATCTTAAATAATATACTCACAGGGATCTGTAAGTGGTACATGTGACGAACTTTTTCAAAGTTAAAGAAACACCTAAGCATAACTTAAGTTAAACAAATACCTAAGCATTGAAAGTAGTGGCTCTAGTGATTAATAAAGCTCAAGTTTTTTTTAAGAATAAACACCAAAGGTAAAAAATAGGAAAGAACTGTTTCAAATTTAGGCCTTAAGTGCCATGGTTTTGTTAATTTTGAACCTTAAGATTCAGCTACTTTTAAATTTAATTTTATTTTTGAATTGGCATACATTAACAACATTATGGGTTTTCTGTGAGATAATTAGATACATGCATACATTGTACTTTGAGCATGTTCATCCCTCTCCATTATATTTCCATTGCATTAGCTATTTTTTAAGAGAAAAAAATCAAACCATTCCTAGAATATATCCTATGCAGTTTATACAGCAAACTTGAACAATGTGCTCAAAAGATGGAGAATTATCTTTGCATTATGGTGGTTTTATTAGACAAATCAGTCTGAATTCAATTATACTAAGGTTGTTTGGCTTCTTTAGTTTTTAAAGGTATTTCTATCGATTTGATGAATAAGGTTCCATTTTTCCATAACTGTAACACTTCTCCCCAGTTGTTCATTTTTATTGGTCTTTATTTCCCATCTTTCCCAACCATCCCATGGGAGAGGCAAGTTAGTTTACTTCTTCTTTTATAACTCACAGCAATACTCATAAGTCCTATAAAAATGAAGACATTTTTGATATAGAAACTATTTTTCCATCAATATAGACCTTTTGAAATTTTTCTTAAAACTAATCTTAATTCCTTACATACACTTGTTCAAGTATTATTACATGTCTACTCATGGAACCAAAGGATAATCCATTCCTTTTTAGTTACCTTCAAATTAACTAACTTGGTTAAAAAACAAAAAAAAAAGGGGGGGACTATTAGCAAAGGAAGGGTATTTCTTATATTTCAGGCAGTTGGCAAACAAAATTACTGGAGCCAATACTTCAAGACTAGAGTATGCTACTTGCCGTCTATGACAAGCTGACTTCATTAAAAGGCAGTACCCGTGGCCTCCAACCTAAGCTGATGCCACAGATCAATTAAAATACTATGTATGTATATATTTTATACACACACACACACACACATGCCATAACTTTAGTGACCAAAACCACATTACCAATCCAGGGCTACAGCAATGGTTCTATGGATACTTATTAAAACAAATTTCAAGTAAAAAATTTGAGTAAATACTCAACGGAAACAGATTTATGTTGCTGGGTTATTATTTTATGCCTCCAACAGAAGGTTTTAACTTTTGCTGAAAGTACTGAAGCATTTACATAACTTATTCATTTAGGAAATACATTTACCTGTAAATGTTTCCACAAAATTGTCAAACATAGTATATGAAAGTCACTTTCCTGTACTGAAATGTGTCCCATTTGTAATGGTTCAAATTATTCTACAATAAATGTAAAAATTATGTTGGATAATAGTAATAACTATTTTGCATGCTTCCTTCCCACGTGCACCTTCTGTTGCTAAAATATTGTACTGGGGTAAGAGATTATTATAGAGGTTATAGACACTCAAGAGGAAAAGAAAATTTATAGATTGCTGGATCTACAGTATCCAGTACCAACAAATAAACCACGGCTACATCCAAGTATTTCAATCTTCCTTTGAAGATTTGAAATGATATTCAGTAATACAACCTAAACCATTTTACACCCATAGATGTCTATTTAAAATCTCAACAATACAGTCGACTGGAACACTAGAAAAGAGATCAGAGTATACAGTCAAGTTCTTAACAGCACAAAACAAATATTTTCAAACACTACCATGTAAAATTTGCTAGTAATCATATACTCCCAGTGAATTTCGTGGAGTTCCGTGGTATATATTCAGGTCTTTAAGAACTTAAACAAAAAAAACTATCTTAAGTAGCATAGTTGCTAATGTTTTTAAGACGCTGAAAACATGTGTATCCCTGAATTTACCCCCATTTATAAAAAGGGAAGGGGGCCGTATCACCGAAGGCCAACTTCTTTAATGTATAGTTCAGCTGTTAGGGTCTTCCTGAAACTTTTGGGTCTAAAATCTCCACTGAAATTCACAAAGAGAGGCCACTAAAATTCAGTTGCCATTGTGATTGGTGCTGACTACCGCTTCTTACTACTCTTTCTTCATAACCCTCGCCCCAAACAGGGGAGCTCTCCGAAGTCCCAATTGTGGACCGGAAAACGGGATTCAAAGGAAATCTTAAGCTCTCTAGGCGAGGCAGGAGGCGGCCAGGCTGGAGCGTCCCCCGCTCCAGCACAACTACCCACACGTCAGGCCCGAAACCCGCTGGAAGAGGATTATTTGAGAAAGGAGGAATAAACCGCCGCCGTCACTTAGCGCCAATTCCAGCCCTTTCTGCCAGGGTTCTTGTACCTGCCGCCGGCCCTCGACCATCTCAGCTCTCCCTGGCGGGGCTTGGCCCCAAAAGGGGCCCCCTCTTCTCCTTGCTCCTTTTTCATTCCGACAGGCGCCGGGGCCTCTAGTGGGAGACTGAGCAGAGCTCCAGGGGCTTCCTACAGGCCCTGAGTCCGGTCCTTTCCTCCCAAATAACATCCCGCCAAGCGTGCCCTGGCTCGCGGGCGCGGCGCTTGGAAGTGGGGCCCCAGGCCTGCCTCCCGCCGACACCAAGAAGAAAAGGGAGGGAAGGGAGGGTGAAGACGGGGCCTGCCCTGGAGCCAAGTACCTTGTAGAAAGCGCCATTGGAGCCCCGCACTTCCACCACCAGCTCCTCCATCTTCTCGTCAACCCTGCTCAAGCCGGGAGCCCGCCCCCGAGAGGTGGGCTGCGGGCGCTCTAGGCCGAGCCGCCGCCTCTGCCGCCGCCGCGCTGCTGCACGCCCCCTGGCAGCAGCGCCGCCGTCACCGCCGCCGCCCGCGCTCGCCGTCGGCTCTCCGCCCGCTCTAAGGCGGCCCCTCACCGGAAGTGAAACCGAAACGGAGCCGAGCGCCTGACTGAGGCCGAAGGCTGGGCCTACTCCTCGTGTAAACAGAGAAACCGGGTCACGTGACAGGCGCCGCCCCTCCTCCCGCGGGCTCGGCCCTCTTGGCCCCGCCCTCTTTCCCTCAGGCCTGGGAGCGCGCGCAAGCGCGCTGCTGAGAACCGGGCAGAGTACGGGCTCCTACTTAGGGCGCGCGGGCTGGGCGTGCGCGGGCCTGGCAGAAGGCGGGAAGGCGCGAAGGGCCGTGACAGGTCGCATGGCCCAAGTGTTCTGGCTAGGGTAAGATACCATTTCCATATAGGCGCAAGCAGGCCTTGGGAAAGGGCCTTCTGTAGTGATCAGCTGCATCCAGTTGTCAGAAGGTGGTCTGACTAGGACTGGAGGGGTCTTTGGTTTGGTTTTCTCCAAACTAGTGCAGTGCCTGGTTTAGCTCGAGCTGGAGTAAGGGGTCAAGAAAGGTAATATATTACATTGTAGGAAACTGAACTACTTAACAGTGGCAACCACTGTTACCCAGACCTGTGAGAGCCTTAAAAGTTGAGAACAGTAAAGTTCTACTCTACCAAGGAATTTTGGGCTGTCTTGTGTCTCCTCAGGGACAATGCATTGTGTCAGGGCTTCTGCAAATGTTAGCCTTTGCTCAAATCCAACACCGGTCCACATACTTCCCTTCCTCAATTCGGTTTCATACTTTCACTTGACATTAGTGAAAAAAACAATGTGTCAAGTGCTTGTTAATTTCTTTACAAGCAACATTGAATTTTTCCTTTCAGCTTTCCTCCTTTACCCTCCACAGTGTAACAAACCCTAACTTTCTTATCCCTGCCCCTCCACTGAAATTGTGTCTGTCTTGACCCATATTCCTTTTGTCTGGAAGGCTTATATCCAAGAAGTTCTTTGAGTGCCTACCAGATGCCAAACACTGGTAACTATTAGTGAGACATTAGCATTAGAAAGCCAAAAAAGACTGCCAGCCTGGGTGTGGTAGCACACGTCTATAATCCTAGCTACTCTTGGAGGTGTAGGAAGGAGGACCTTAAATTCAGGGTCAGCGCAAGTTCAAGACCAGCCTAGGGAAAAGGTATTAAGATCCTATCAACACACACACACACACACACACACACACACACACACAAGACACATAAAACACGAAAAGCAAAAGTCTAGGGGAACTTGGCCCAAGTGATTCAGTATGTGCCTGTGGCCTTGGCTTCAATCCTCAGTATAAGAAAAAAATGTACTGCCAATATTGAACTTGGAACCTGGAGGAATAGATAGACATGAATCAAATTATCAGAAAAAGTAATAGAGGGGGTGAATTTGATCAAAGTACATGTATGTGTGGAAATGTCATGATGGAGCCCCTTTATACAATTAATATATGTTAACAAAAAGAAAAAAGGAAAAAAGTAATAGAGTTCCAACTTGAAGAAGGGCTATAAACAGTAATACAGCTATAATAGTGGAACAAGTTAACAGTGTAGGATAGGGGAAGAAAGAGAAGGGAAATGATTTCAGCTAGAATGTGACAGATAAGAGTTAAGTAGCAGCATGTGGTTGGTGGAGGCAGGGTGAACTGCCTCAGGCAGGCGTCCTAGAATGAGAGGCATGTTTGGCCTCTAGTTCCCTTCCCCTCCTCTCCAGCCAGACCAACAATATTGCTGTGGGTGAAACTTCAGGTTTAAAGCAGTGGATCGAAGGCCACAATCCTTGAGGCCATAGTGAATAGAAATGATTCATTGGACAATGATCTTCAGAGTAGCCATAATATGTGGAGATGCCATCAGAGATGCAAGAGAATCTCACCATAGACTGAATGGAAGCAGAGTATTATTTTTAACTCCAATGTATTAAAAGGAGACATTTGATTAGAAAGATTACACCTCCCACATGTAACTTGCCTAGGGTTTTCAAATACGTCAGTTCCCCACAACTGTTACTGTTCTAAGATCCACTATAACACTGTCGTGTCCCTGCACATGCTTTCTGGGCCCCATAAATGGCCTCCCCCTTAAAGTTATTCCTGGAATTCTTAGCCCATAGTTATTTTACCTCAGGTGCAAGAGTTGAGTTAACTTTTCTTCTCAATTCTCAGTACATTGTCATCATTAGTCCCTATATGGCCCCTCTCTTGCTTATATTATTTTGTTTATAGTATTTTTCCTCATCTTTCTCAATCCCCACTCTCATTCTTCTAGACAGAAACTATAATATATTTGATATAGATCCTTGATGTTTTAAGACAAATAGTATTTTGAGTGTGCTCTTTTTTCATCTTTGGAGATGCTATTAGACTGTAAATCCGTTTCCTCTTGTTCCACTCAACAGTATGTTTTTGAGGTGTGTCCACATTGCTGTGTGCATACTTAATTTGTTGCTTCTTACCACTGCTAAGTATTCTACAGATTTTATTGATGCATGTCCCTAGTGTTGGGGCATCTAGGTTATTACTAACTCCCTAATGTCATGTGGTGGCAAAAACACTTGCGAATATCTTTATCAACTTTTGCAAGAATTTCTTTTGTACTTTTATAGAACTTTGTGAATACTTCCTGTTTCCTCATTGTGCTACTTATATAGCAGGGACTTGAAATGCTGAATAACTCTAATATGATATATGATTTACTAGAGTTATTTACTTTTAGTTTTAGTTCCCTCATTGTACAATTAGTTCCTTCCAGGCAGAAAGATGTCTTACTTATCTCTGTGCCCAAGGCACATTAAAAGTACTTGACATGTTCAATGAATGAATAGGTGCTTATTCTCACTACTTGTACAAACTGTGATTTGGTCTTTTCTTCTTGACTCAGTGTCTCAGTCTCACTCTGATGTCTACCTTTTGAAATTCCCCCTTCTAAGACAGCTCAGTGCATTTAGACAGTTGGCTCCACCCTGCTTATGACCTTCTTTTCCCATATTCTTCTCTCAGTTACTGACAATGCCTGCCTTTAAGTTAGCTGCTCAGGCGATTTAAAATGTAGTCATATGACTTTCTTTCTTCCACACATCTCAGAGCCCAGAATCAACTTCTCTTACTACTTCTACTGCTAAGTCCATGATCCATGTCTCCATCCTTTCTTATCTGGATTATGAAAATAGCTTCTTCATGGGTTTCCCTGAAGCAGATCGGGTCCTTTCTATCAACTGTCAGAAAGACAAAATGATCCTGTTCAGGTGTCACTTAAGTCAGTTTGCCATTCAAACAGCTCCAATGGCTCCTTGAATTTCCCAGCAAAAAGCCTCAGTGCCATACACACTGTGGCTTCTGTTATCTCCTCTTCTATTCCCTCCCCTCCCCCCACCTATTCCATTCCAGCTACAATGGTTTCTTTGCTGCTTTTGAAAATACCTGTCAAGTTCTGTGTCCCCTCACCAGAATGTAAGCTCAGAGAGAACAGAGACTTTAATGTCTTTCCTTCTGTGTTTATTCCTGGGGCCTACCACAGCGTCTGGAACATAGTAGGTGATTACTAAAAATGTACTGAATGAATATATGCATACATATTAAGCACTAAGTCTAGGACAACTCTGCTTCTATGCCTATATTTATTTGATATCAACATGATGGTTCAGCACTTTTAGCCCTGCCTTGGCTCTGATCTTCCATTAAATTACTGCCTGTTGTCTTTACATTGACGTTTTCTGTGTTATTTCCTTCTCCTTTACAACCTGAGCCCCTGAGTCTTTTTTATGCCTCAACCTCAGCTGAAATGCCATCTCCCCTTACCAACTCTGGAAATCTTATACTTCAGGACATCTTTCATGATACTTTCACTGAAAATTTTACTTCAACTTGACTTCTACTTTGAAGTAAAGATTAGAAAAAACCATAATGAACAGTTTTAGAATTATGCAAAAATTGGAGCAGATAGTATAGAGTTCCCAGATACTTCTCACACCTTGCTCTTGCACAATCTCCCCTATTGTTAAGAGTTTGCATTAGTGTGATACATTTATTATGGTTGACATATCACTATTAACTGAAGCTACAGTTTACATTAAGGTTCACTCTTTGTGTTATACAGTTTTGTGAGTTTTGACAAGTCCATAATGTATCCATCATTGCAATGTCATATAGAAGAGTTATACTATCAAAAGTTCTCTGTGCTTCACCTATTCATCTGTACTACCTCCTAACCATTTGCTGCCAATTAAATTTTTACTATGTAGTTTTTCATTTTCCAGACTATCATGCAGTTAGAATTATATAGTATTCAGTTTTTTCATAGTGGTTTTTAAAATTAGGAATATGCATCTAAAATTCATCTATGCCTTTTCATTGACCAACAACTATTTCTTTCTTATTGTGAAATAATGTTCTATTGTATGCCCGTTCTACAGTTTGTTTATTTATTCACCCATTAAAGGGCATTTTAGTTGCTACCACTTTGATTATGAATAAAGCTGCTATAAACTGTCTTGACAGTTTTTTTCAATTCATTTGGGTAAATACCATGGATCATGACTACTGTATCATGTGGCAAAACTATGTTTAGATTTGGAAGAAACTGCCAAATGCTCTTCCAAAGTGGTTGTATTACCTTGCATTCTCACCAGTGAAGAATATGAGTTCCTATTACTCCCCATTGTTGCCAGCATTTGATGTCTGTGTTTTAAATTTTGCCCATTCTAAGAGGTTGGTACTGGAAACTCATTTCTTTATCATTCACTAATGACATATGTTCATTTGCCATGTTTGTATCTTCTTTGATATTATGTGTGCTCAGAACTTTTGTCATTTTTAAATTAGATTATGTTCATTTTGATGATTTTTAACCATTCTCCACATATTTGGGATGCCAG